GCACCTAAAATTGAAGAAATTCCTGCTAAGTGAAGGGAAAAAATAGCTAAATCGACTGAAGCACCCCCATGAGCAATAATAGATGAACGTGGAGGGTAAACATTTCAACCAGTCCCGGCTCCGTTTTCAACTATTCTTCTTATCAAAAGAAGTGATAGGGCAGGAGGTAAAAGTCAAAATCTTATATTATTTATTCGGGGGAATGCTATATCAGGCTCCTAGTATTAATGGAACTAATCAATTACCGAATCCTCCGATTATAATAGGTATTACTATAAAAAAATTATAATAAAGGCATGAGCTGTAACGATTACGTTATAGATCTGATCATCTCCAATTGAAGCCCCTGGATGACCTAATTCAGCTCGTACTAAAATTCTTAAAGAAGTACCAATCATTCCCGATCAGGTACCAAAAATAAAATATAATGTTCCAATATCTTTATGATTTGTAGAAAATAATCATACACTTGCTATATCATAAAATACGATTGTATGGTTTGTATTTAGCATATACAACAATATACCTATATTATAAATATACAAATAAATAAAGGTGATAAGGAAGCAGAGTAGCCGAGCAGGTAATATTCGCGGGATTATAGCTATAGTTAGTGCTCACTTAGCATACGCAGAACACTTACCGATTGGGTACACACCCACGAGGATGCCGTCTCCACGGCCTCTACCTATTCGCCTTTCTTCCATTTATTCTGACAACCTTACACTATTAGGGGACATCCACTGAGCGATAGGCCATATTAAAATAAATATGATTTCTTACAACTAAGTATAATAAAAAAAGTAATCAAATTATTGCTCCTTTTAGGTGCTTTCCATCGTTCCAAATACCGTCAGGTTTTGACATTTTCAATAACTCTGAAAATGGAACATGTTGTTTCTTAATTTCCCTGATATTTACCAGATATTGTTTAAAAGATTGCATTAAAGGTTTCCGTAGAGAATTTATAAAGAACTGAAACTTTTTTTAAATAAGGCCCTTAATGTACTGAATAGCCTTGAATTGCAGTTAAACGGTTCTATATTGCTGCATTGTACACGTAATTTGTAAAATGGATTTTCTTCGTGTTTGATCTTTTTGACTCGATTACATGGCGTTATGTTATTTTTATGGATTAAATACTTGTGAGTGGTTGGTGCTCAAGAGGGTTTTTAGCTAGCTAACTAAAGAAGTGAAGACTGCGCTTAAAATTGATTTTGTTAAATAAATCTTTAAATACTTTAAAATAAACCTTTAAGTATTAGTTAAGAACCAATAATTATCCAACGATAATTTATGATCATAATAACAATAATTAAATCTTAAAAGTGATACTTAGTAGTGAAATAATTATAGAATAACGCTACAAGAGACGACCATATCCCATAAAAATCTATAATCTCGGCTATTCATTATCTAGTCATTGGCTTCGCAGTCGATTGAAGATTTTGATAAATGAATATCACACTATCATCATACTCTGCAACCCGTAATGCTACCTTTTAATGCAAAATTCATACATTAGAGCCAGGGCGTTGGAAGAAACTCATAATAATATTGAATGTACTCGGCCAGAAAACTGGCCTAAAGGATTAACATGAAATTTTTTTAGACATATCGCCTGCCCTACACAATTTACTTCCACTTTCATTTACCACATAAAAATCGGACAAGATCATCTTATCACATTTTTTTCTTATAATGTCCGAAAAAAAACATCATAAAAATATTATTGGACGTGTACAATTTGTAGGCGAAGTGTCTGTTTATTTGTTTGTTTATTGATTTTACAAATAAGTGTTTTCGGCTATTTGACAAAGCTTTTTGAACGTAAACGTAGAACAACTCTCACATCGTTTCATAGATCAGAATTGTTTTTATCTTAAGTCTTTACGTATTACTCTTCAAATGAAAATTGACAGAACTATAAGTTTTTTCGCCAAAGTTGCTCTTTGTCGAACTCAGTTTTAAATGGCTACATTTTTTACCAGCTTTGAGATATCAAACTTTCGTTTACTAGTCAAGGCAACAAATAAATTGAAGTTTTAATGGAAATCAGGCCTTATCGTAGACCTGACCAGTTTGCGAAAAGACTACCCAAGCAATAAACATACCATGGACATACTTGCACAAAACGGCCAGCAATTGTAACAAAAACGCTTTACTTTCTACTTTTTCACGTTTAATTATCCATTTAACGAAACAATTATATTGTCCGCTAATTATAACGAGTGTACGTCATAATGCTGCAAACGACGGAAGAATTGAATAATTTTGTAACAATTTTCTTGTTTATTAATTAAATAGAAAACGATACACATGATGAGATGTTAAAAAAAGCTGCAATTAGTTTTATTACGTAAATTAGAAGATAGAGCCCCCCAATAAAATAATTTGAGTGTTTTGCAAATTTTTGACAAAAATATATAAAAAATTTCCCATTTCTTGAAAACATTTTCAAGTTCTTAAGTCTATTCTTAAACTACACGTAAGGAATAGGTTTAAAGATCTGTTTGCGCAGTTTTATTTAGTATAACTTTTTTTTTTTTGTCGTTAAAAATGATCGTCAATGAAGCGTGCAGACGATTAATATTAACTAGACTGGGGTCTTATGCTATTTAAAAATATATTGAATTTTCCAAGTATAAATTTATAATATTTTCTACTATAAACACCACTAGCCGATTTGCGATAACGATTCTTAATATATTTCCTTTTAGTAATGAGCTTTGGAAATTCCTTTCAAGCATTCTTACTTAAAAAAAAGACAGTAAAACAGCAACATTAATTCTCGCAAAACCTTCTTACGAAAATTTTTCCGGTTCATAAACTTCCCTCTCAATTGTTTATTTTTATTTTCTTTTTTACAACTCTCGAGTGGATTTTTCTTAACTTGATTACTTTATTTCCTCCTGCTGTGAGTAAGTGATTAAATGACTTGCAATTCAACCCCTATGTTTGTGTGCGAGTAAAATATGAACAACATCAACGGGAATCGTTTGTGACACTTGTTGTTGTTTGTTAACAAAACACAACTAAGTACAGAAATCATCTAATAATTGACAAAATATTGTCATTTTCATGCCAGACTCGAGTGCCATTCAAATATTGCTTTTGCTATTGTTTTTGTTAACATGAAAAAAAGAAGACTGTTATTTTACCGTACACTCTTTGTGTTACAGGATGCGTTAAGTTTGTGCAAACGTATGTAATACTCAAATTTTTGAGACATTTTCATCTAATTTGATACACTGACGTGGTTTGAGTTGTTCAACAAAACTCGCTGTGTAATATTATTTCGACATTCTAATTTGTTCGAAAAGTTTGGTTCGGACGAGGCAATTTCCAAACCCTCGCATTTAAACGTTCTTAATCAAAATTCGCCCTTTATAAAAAAATCAACCTTACAGAATTTGAACCACGCAGGTATATTTTTTGAATACCGTCGCACATAAGGATTCTCCGTAAATGCAAACCCTTATATTGTCAGGAAACGTAAGCCATTGTACGCCAAAAAGGTTTATTTCTCAATGTTTTATGATGAACATTTGTTCATGGTAGTAAATTTAAATTAAAATGAAGTGGGCTAAATTTGAACCACGTGGTTCTATTTCTTGAACCGCACTCCACATAAGGACATAAGTCCATATTATAGATATCAATATATAGAAGGGTTACCATGACAAGCAAACTCTTATGTAGCGAGAAAGGCTAATTTGCACTTTTTTATGACGTAAATTGAAAAATGTATATATATATATATATATATATATATATATTGAGGAAATACATCAAATCTGGTAAATTAGGTTTAGGTCACATGATGTTTTGACTACCCTCAAATATGGACTTTCATGAAAAGCATGCCTTTGCAGGAATATCATGTGCACTATATGATTTGTTGTTATCAAAACAACCTAATAACCGAGTTAAGCGAAGTAGCGTAGGATGTTTATAATCGGCTTTGCCTTATTTCCTTTTTTAATTTTGTAGTGATTATTACATCAAACAAATTTTTCATCACCTTTTGTTTCTTTTTCTTTGAATACATTAAACAAGTAATCCTTGATTTGACTCCTATTTCATTATTGTTTCGTAGTAAGGGTGCTTTTTATACCCGCCATGCCAAAAGTGGGGTACATTCATTTTGTCAAAATATTTGCAAGCCAAGAGGAAAGCTTCAGAAACCCTACAAAATATATAATATGCGTTTAATTAGCATGAAATTCGGAATCGAACTAGACATGTCTGTCTATACATCGATTATATGTGTGCACAAAGCACTTTCCTTGTCGCGAAAATTAAGATGGCGTCTGCAAATTTGAGAAAAACATAAAATTGGTTCGGTATAAAAATTTCGTCGGCAGCCGAATATATTTTTTTACTTGTTTTCTATATAGATTTTCAATTCATTAACAAGATAGGGTGGATTGTATATAAAGCATAAATAAGTCTTAGTTTTATCACATTTATATGACCTTTTAAGAAATTGCAGAACAATGGATGCAGAAGCAAGCATTATTATTCCTAAGGTCACATAATCAAGTTGTCTCTATTGTCCAGCGGTAAGGATAATGAGAAAAGGAAGCAATGTAAATCTAAACATACGACCAAGATTTTTCTGCATAAAGAAATAAGTGAAATTGAACTGTAAACTGATTAACAAAATTATATACAAATGACCTCACTCTTTATACGCTTTAGCTCTAAATTAGAAAGTAAATTAAAAACTTTTGTAAAACTTTTTCGCAAACACTTTTTATTTTCTTAATTTTAAACGTAAATCATTCTTGCAAATATTAAAAAAAAAAATGATATGTATATATATAAGAACTTATAGATAAGCGAAATATTTACAAATGATTGCATTGAGGTTTTCCTAAACAAATACCATTATTTACAATATTGTTGTGCTTATATTAGCCGCTATTTTTAATACTCTTACACCAATGTACCATATACAGCTTTTGATCTTTGCTAAACTATATAAGAGTATTTTGTTTTTAACACAAGGTAGCCTATTAATTTCCTATGCTGCTTTGTAGTTGGATATTAATTTTTATCTTGGCTGAAACACTTTTTTTTTAATTTCCTTTGATTTTCATCCTCAGCAATATTTTGTTTGCATTATGGTTTGATTGCCCGCTATTAGAGCAGACGTCTCGTTAACGGGACATAATTTTAAATGGGTATGTGGTGTCTCCATATGCTCTATGAATATATATGATATATATATACGAGGTGAGGCCAAAATGCGCCAAGTGAGCGGATTAAATAAGCTTGTTTCATATTCCCAGGAAACAGCTGCATAAACGGGATTTTTTATACTTTTTCCCGCCACTAATGATGTATATTCAAAGCCCGGTTCAAAGTATATAGGTTTTGCAGAAAATTTCATATTCTCTGTAGACTCTTTACGATGTTTGCCTTGTAAACGAATCGAGATGGTGCCAACTTCTCCACCGTGCGCAATACTCTCTTCATGGCCAGCTACCCGTACAGTGATTTTGTAATGGTGCCCTGAAAGTAGAAAAGGAACATTTTTCTAGAAATTATATTAATGAAAAGTTTCAGAGTACAGATGTGTGTAAATTTGTTTATATCTACATCAAGAGCCGATATTCTATTTTTACAATGTACAAACTCTATATACTTTCCAAAAATTTGTAGAATTTTCCTTCTTCGTATATTACACCGCTGCTTGTGCAGGGTATATGAAGTACGTGCTGTAAGTAACGCTCAGCAAAACCCAGGAGAGACCAACGTTTTATTGTATCAACCAATTCGGAATCATGTTTTGAATCGATTTAACTCGAAACTCGTCCGTGGTAGTAGTATTGTAGTTTTGTATTCAACCCACAGGTTGGAGGTTTTCATATAAGGAAACTTGGTTCGCTGACGACTTTTGGCCCAAGCATGGACAATTTTTGAAAATGGATTTGATCGGACCACTTTTCCGGTCACTCATCAAGTAACGCCTTCTTTTGAAATGTTCTTATAAGAAAAAAATTACAACTTCTCGCAAAAAATGGCTGAATAATAACATTTTGGCCGGCTAAATTGATGTTAAAAACTTTGGATGGACTATGCCAATTTTCTAATCCGCTCTTATGTAACCTTTCCCATAAAGCTGAACTTCCATATTGCAGAGTAGTATAATACGTCCGTAATAGTGTACCATGATATAAAAATTAACTGCTCCAAACATGAACCATGTACGTCTATTTTTTGAAGTCTGCTACATATAAGCATGGCCAGGAAAAGTAAGCCTTTATATGGCAATAGCCTCTAATTTATTATGATAACAACATATGTAGAATAACAAAATCTTTACCAAGAACATAAAAGCTTATAAATTTGCAAAAGACCAGTTCACAATTTGTGCATCAGCAAATATAAGAACTTTCGTGAAAAGCATGATTTTACGTGAAAAGAAGACAACAGCGGCATAATGCTGAGAGTAGATGAATAATGAATAAATAATTGAAAATGAATGAATAAATGTAAGTAGCGTAGGGTATTTAATTTTTGACTTTGCCCGACTAAAATATTTTTTTTTCCTTTTTTTTATTCAAATGTACAGCAGCTACTTTAATGGGTCGCAAAGCTCAAGTCATATGTAACTTCTTTTTGCCGTAGCGCAAGCTTTGATATCAACAAACTTAAAAGATCAGCCCTCCAATTTCGTTGGTGTGCTAAAAAAAATTTGGCAAAAGTGGTCTGTTATGTGTATTTAGGAATGTTTAGCTTCTTCACATCGTTGGCAACATATATGGACGTTTAGTTTTTTATAATTGTTATCTGCTGTTAATAATAAAAAGAACAAAAATTTAGCATTAACCCATTCAATACAAAATATGGTTTGGCGGCACTAATAACGGTATTTCCAATGTATAGTTGGAGATATAAAGAGGAGTAACGTAAATTCTCGGAAGTTAGTGTTTTTGGATCATTTAATCGTAGCAATTCCAAGAAATTTTGAGGAAGAAATTTACATACAAATATGTATATGTTTATCATTCGAGCTTTAGTTTTTGAATTTCTTTCAATTTAAAAAGAAAGCCAATTTTTGGAGTTAAGAGGCTAAATTGATTTGGTTGTTCATCCGCCTATAAACAGTTTCATGAAAATTTATATAAAAAGATTAGAAAATGCATCTGACAAATATGGATTTTGTTTGTGAAACATAAAATTTATTTCTTGAATGTATATTTCTTTTTATGTCCACCATTGTAAGATGGGGGCATACTTATTTTATTTTTTGCCATAATGTAAGTAACACCCAAAAGGAAGCGTCAGAGTATATACATGCTGTCTATTCGCCTGTTTTTCTGTGTGGTGTGTGTTGTTGACACTCTCCTGGTCGCAGAAATGAAGAAATCGACTTCAAATTTGATAAAAACATTGGAAATTTCCGGACGCAGATTGGTATTGAAAACGGCCCAACGGAACACAAGCACGCTGTGTAGCGTAAGCTGAACGCAACTTCGTTTTTTTTAACGAAAACTTCCCGATTCTTGCTCGTTACGCCGAATTTATTAAAGCAAAGTACTTTACAAAATACTCTACTCCACGAAGATGGAAACAATCATAAGGCAATTAAGATAGCATGTTTAAATTTATTTTATACATTCCTCAAACGACGATATATCATCTGCCTAAATATGGGTAATTTTTTGTTTAATAATTCCAGCGATATGGGTATCAAACGAAAGAACTTGGAGAGTAGAATGCAAAAAGCATAGTGTTGGGTTTGCGAGATTCGGCTCGGCCGCATATAACTTTCTTACTTGTTTTAAACTTTAAAAATACTTACGACAGAACGGTGCTTCTTCTCCTGTAATTAAATATATTATAGGTGGCTTTGATGTGTTGATTTTATTGAGTTTCAACAGTTTACTATAATCTTCATAACTATGATAGCCCATACGCATACATAGATGAGCGTTTTCATTACAACATGAACATTTCCCCGCTTTGAAACTCTTTAAAAAGCGCAATAAATTTCGATAAATTTGTAATTTTTTAGAAATTGTTCTGGAGTTTACCTGATATGAATCGCAGCTTACACCCATAAACGGACAATTGCTTCGTATACTTTCTATAAAGTACTGATAGCTGCGTACATGATTGCAACCAACGAACTTTTGCATATTTTCGACAATCGTGTTTTTGCTATTGCGCATATACTCGTGTAAGCGGCCATCGCAACCGGGATTATCCATTCCGCCGTTAGGATAAAAATCTACATGACCCAAACGTTCATAAAGTCCTAAACCACCTAATAAATTACCGTCGGTGTGTACTACGTCAACGAAATGGGCATCGGAGCGATCCAAGCGCACTACACCATGTGTTTCAGCGAATAAAGGAGCTGCCGGATCCAAACCAGTAATGCGACCCACCTTTAAGCCGAAATCTTTTTGTAAATGATAACCAGCATAACCGGCCAAATGGGAGCCCAAAGAATGGCCAATAATATGAATTTTGCTTAAGTCCGTGAAAGAAAGTTCTTCCTATTAAAATATAAAAAATTATGTTAAGAGCTTACAAAAAGATTAAATTACTCTGTTAAAAAAATATTCCATCTTGAAAAATAAAAGCTGAAAACCCTTTTGTCCTTATTCGTAAACATTATAAGACCAATCATTCATGATTTCATATATCCAATGGGCTTCCTTGATCATAATTGCGATAGCATCGTAATTTTCTTTCTATAAAGTTTCTGCAGTCCCTGGCCAAATTTTTTTAATATGCAGGTCTTGCGAATCAAACACGATTCAAGTGTCTCTGTAAAGACTGAACCATGTATCAGCTTGGTAACGTTCAGTTCAAATTGTTCTTAAAATACTAATAACATTTTATCAGCCCAAGTGGTTAAGCGTTGTCTATTGAAATGTTTTGCGACATTTATTCTTTCGCCAATGTTCAGACATAATCACCCTACATGCCAAAAGTATTGCCGCAATTATATCCTGCTATCTGGCGATAGAAACTCGCAACCCCCGACGCTATTTCGATTCGACTGCAATGTTTTTCAGACAATATCGATTGTTTACTTTTAGCTCGAGTTTGTTAAATGGGAACAAAAATTGGCAGATCGAGCTTCGACAACCCACATCTTCTTATAGCCGCAAACATTGAGATGGAAAAGTTAGCTTTTATAGCAGACACACATAGTCTAAAGTTTGATGTTTGTCAGAAAAACTGAAGCAATCAGTGCAAAATTAGCTCGCAAAAACAGCAGCAGTTTAATAAAGCTATATAAAATTTTATCGCAAAAAAATATCTCGATCGGCCAACTGACATTAAGAATTAATACAGTGACTTTTAGTTTACAGAACAAGTAAGAAAACTGTGTTTGGCTGTGCACAAATCTTCTACACTCAACGCTTTTTCTCAAAAAAAAAATAAATAAATAAATAAACAAAAGAAATGAAACTTTGATATTATATATTGTTCTGCGGTCGTAGTCGATTTTTTCCGTTTTTGTGTAGATACTAGATAGATCGCCCATAGCATAGACAAGGATGTTTTTATATGTATATCTATATTAGAATAAGAATAAGGAACAAAAGCCTCAATTCTTTACAACCCACTATATCTAGCCCACATTTTAGCGAAGCCAAACACACTTGGTCCGCTTCTCTAGAAGAAGTAGAAATACAAGCATAAATAAAACAACGATTCGCCTGATTGACCGAAGGCGACGAATCTCGAGTAGCAACTCAATGGTCGTGGGTTCGAATCTCAAGTGCCTTACAGTTTTTAATAAAAGCCGATAGCATTAGATGGTACTGCTTTTAAGAGTTTAATTTTAGAAATTATTTCTCTGGTGAAATTAATAATAATAATGAAGCAGGACATCGTATAGAAATGTTATAAGAAGTTAAAAAAAAATTTTGTTGCTACTGTTTAATGCATACTGAAAAGTTACAATATACAAAGTGGGTATAAAAAATGTTAACGAATTTGATATGTCTTAAATTACACTAAAACCTATCAAAAAAACTTAATTTCATTACCCATACCCAGGTCCATCAGCGCCAAATTCACCCCAAACTACCCTCTCCATATACACAAGACACTCAGGACACAGGTCAGACATGCCCAGATGAGCTCAGTGTTTAATATTGATCAAGAATGTATACATATATAGGATTATTTAAGCTTTCTTTTGCGTGTTGCGGACGTTGTGCCAAAAAGAATATAAACCCATCCTTTGGTGGCGAGTGTAAATATTGGTCCCTTCAAGCAAGCTCCACGCCATGCTCATCCAATTTTAGAGGGTATTCAAGCTTTTTTGTTTCTTGTTTCTTAAAAAAAAGGTGGTGGATACAAAAGATTCGGTTACAACCGATTACTTTTTGGTTTTTTACTTTTGCTGTAATTATATATATATTATATATATAACGTTAAATGTGTTATGATAGACACCATTTGCTTGTTATGTATCACAACGAATCTCTAATGACAACTTGAAAATTAAGGCTGAATGGTTTTTAGACTATTTGATGTTTTGCTTACATAGATCATGTGCATAACATGAGCAGTGATGGCCCCTACCAAACGTATATTTGCTACAGCTTGAACATAGGGGGGACTCGAACCATTTCCCCAATCTATAAGAATCACAGCAGCTTGACCTTCAGGTTCATATTTTAACAACATTTGGCATAATTCTGGCATCTTAAAAACAAAAAAAATGAGATCGTTGGAACGATTCTATTAAAATTTTCTGATGTACTTTTAACTTACCCAATCAATGTCTGCTGTTTCCAAATAGCCATGAGCGATAAAAAATAGTCTTCCTTTAGGATTTATGCCCATGTGATGTAGCGCTTCGGGTTCATTTAAATCGATATATTTAGGTTTATCTTTCGCTTTCGTTGTATGCAATATGAAACGTACACCAATTTCCGAAGGTTTCTGAGGATGAACATTGATTCGCCGAGTATTTGTAGTCCATGGTCCATTTAAAGGGAAGCATCCATAAACACCGTAACATTTCACTTCATTGGGATCTGTAATAATTATTGTTACATTTAACAATGCGTACTTGTCAAACAAAACGGAAGCTCAACTCTTTGAGGAAGGTCTTAAGTAGAATTGATAAATTGATAAGAAAATTATATTCGGCCGTGACCCAATTCTTTATATCCCTGCCTTTTTTTTTAAAAAGGGAACATAATGTTGGATGGGTGAAACCTATTTTCCCCTTCTTTTAATTTTTATATTTTATCTGTTATAGTTTACGAAGAATAAACGAAAATAAATTTTTTTTTTCCTTTTGAAAACGGTAAGCGTATCCTCTGACTGAATTGCAATGTTTTTGCCATGGTTAAGTTCATGATTTTTGAGACTAGGAGAACGTTCACCACAGACATTTTACAGGTTTAGAGACGAACAGACAGACATAGGGATTTGCTTAAATGGATTCAGAGTTTTGTGTTGACTAGGAATATACATGTTTTACGGGCACTCTGAAGTTTCCTTCCGGATGTTGCAAAAGTTTTGACAAAATGAACATACATCCATCCTTTAGTGCCAGATATAAAATTATGCTTTAATCTCAAACAACGCTTGAACTTTAAGCATACGGCAGCGTTTAGGCTTAATTCTACCGGGTATGTTTTTTAATTTTAAATATATATGCTCATTTTGCATTATTAAGTTGAATAATTAGCAAAAGAATCTCTATGAAATCTATAATAACCTTATAGTTTTTATTTTAACATACAAAAAATAAATACAAAATTAAAAACGTTATAGTAAGCGCACTTGTTACTAAGCCTCTTATAATTTCGTGACTAAGCACATATGCTATTATGCGTACGCTTCTAGAAAAAAGAAAACAGTAGCATTTTTTGATAAGAAAGATTTACTTCTAATTGATATTTACTGATAAGTATAAAGCATTTCAAAGATTCCGGAGAACTCGTTATATATAACATATTTGTACATATTTGGTAATATATATATATATAATTGACCTTTTATAAATTTGAAATCCCCACATTCGTCGACCATAAATTAATCAATTCACGTTCAGCATGTTCTAACAAGAACGCAATTTTTGCTTAATTCTCTCTTGAGAATATATTGATATATTAGTTTTGGGGAAAAAGAAGTCCATTATTTTTATATGAATTTCAGGACTTTATTTAACATGCTTCGAATTGTCCGATTTAAGTCAAATATGCACCGTTTTGTTGTACGATTTGTTGCCATTTTAAAGGTAACTTCGAAATGCCTCTCTCATAGAAGTCCTAGTCTCTCTTTGCAAAAAACTCTAGTAGTCGATTTTCACAATTCTCCCTAGATTCCAATTTTTTATCATTAAAGAAATTTTGCAATGCAAGAAAAAGATGATAATCGCTTGGTGCCAAGTCCGGACTGTATGGCGGATGCATTAAAACTTCCCAACCAAGCTACCGAAGTTTCTGGCGAGTCACTGTAGATGGTTGTGGCCTAGGATTGTCCTGGTGGAACACGACACCTCTCCTGTTGGCCAATTCTGGCTGTTTCTGGTCAATCGCTATCTTCAAACGGTCCAGTTGTTGACCGAAAAAATAATGGATTTCTTTTTCCCCAAACTAATATATATCTTGGTGTTTCAACTTCTCAACGCCTTTCATTTAATTATGGATACAATACACTTCAACAACGTTTGCAAGTCGTTTTCATTGTTTCCTTTTTTTGTCTTTTGGGGGCCTATTTCAAATGTTTAACGTCATATTTACATAAAAAATATAGAAATGAACGATATTGATGTGCATTATCTTCAATTTATATTGGGGAAGGTATTAAATTCCGACACAAACGATAAAACAAAGCTTTCACCTCAAGCTGGTAAGCAAAAAACTCAACATATCAAATACGTATCTTCAACAAAATTGTGTGACATTCTATCCACCCGGTAAAAGAATCGAGTGATCGAAAACGAAGTTCGGCAAGCGTTGACGTTAATTAAAAACCCATACACTTTTATGATAAAAATGACATGAACTCGTATTGCAAGATTGCCTACAATTTTTTTGTAACGAGATCGAGTAATGCTGTTCAAGATCGGAGGGTTTACCATCTAAGCAACGTGTGAATGCCATTTCTCTAAAGTCTTCTCTAGTCGCAAATATTTTCGAGGAAAAGGATATGGCGAGAAAGTTGTATTATTAACAGGGGTGTTCGAAAACTTATATTTTCTTTATTGAAGCATCTGTGGAGGACTCACTTTTAGCTACTGTAAACTATGCATTAGAAGCAAAATGTCTTTTGTGAAGAAATTTTGTTAAGTATCCTCCCAGATAGTTTATTGTAGAGAAAATGAATTTCTTTCATTTCCGATACTTTCTCAACCACGTTTTCTATTAAATTGGTTTGTCTTATATTCATGGATTTTTATTATTGTCTTTGCCTCATAATTTTTTTGAAAGCACATTAGTTAGAATAATATTTCTCCTAAGGAAGTTATATGTCTGCACTTTATGCTTAAATTCGTTTGCATTTCACTAATTTCTCGCCTAAATGTGTGCAGTCGCTTGTTTGTCTATCTTCATATACAACATTCAACAATGGGAAGATGCAACAATTACAAATATTTGTCCTTAAATGGTTGTTCGTAACATCAATCGGTTTTTTAATTGGGATTATCAGTACTACGAAAAAAGAATTAGATTGCTACAAAGATTCATAGGTAAAGACTGAAGAACAAGCTTGAAATAATGTATTATGCACCACAAAATACACTTGCAATTGGATAGCGACTATCAAAAATTCTCTATGTGACGCTTTCTTAATTAATATTGGTATTTCATCTCATTTCAAGTTAAGCATCAGTGATGGGTAATTGTTATGAATTTTTGAATTGGTAATGAGTCAAAATACTAAATATTTCACTTTTATTAAATTTATTCTAAATTATAAATTCTAGTTCTATATTTTTTATAAAACATACGATAGCACAAGAGTGTACGTTTACGGTTGGCTCACAATTATTGATTTATTAATTTCCTCAAAAAGTTTTGCCATCGTAATAAATAGACACATCTATTTGCATCTGCAAAGAATTGCCATTTTTCTCTCGTCTATTATGTTCGGCTGTTACTAAGGCATACGGCTGCGTTATTCACCAACCAACACTAGTCATTGCTATAAAAGGGTGTTAACTTTTCATTGTTAATGAAGCTGTATAATAACTAATCATCGGAAAAAAGACATTTTCTTTATTTGACCTATTTATTCCTGAAATGTACGAAAAAAAACAAGAAGATAATTATATTCAAATTTCCCCGTTATCCCAGAAAAGACAAATAAAGTAAAATAACTAAATTTTCATGCTCTATAATATGGAATGGGCGCAGATGACTTTTTTTATTTTGAAGAAAATTTTTTGTCGCATAGGCGTGTCAGCGTTACAGGCGTACTTAGAAAAGTTTAAATCACCTCCAATTCTTTTGTAAAATTGTAGGGGATGTCTTCAATTTCGCTAACGGGAGAACGCTTATCACAAATACAATACAGTTGCGCAGGCAACTGTTTAGGTCCACTCCAAATTTGCAACTGGCTAAGAACTTGTACACTTCATGGGGGTTTTAAAACTTGTTTCTGCGCCTTATGAAGGTTTTGGAAAAAAAGGTTAAACTTTAATACACTATAATATTGGGTAGGCGGGGTCAATGTTTTACAGTTTTGTACATGTACTACAGAGTCGCCCATAGAATATGCTTTCAAATTTTTGTATATTTATATGCTGTAGTTTATAAGTAATGACCAAAAAACCAATTCTTTATTCGTTTTGAAAAACTGAGATGTTTTAAGTTTGCGTGGTGCTGTGGGCGTGTCCTTTTAGCGATTTGGCCTATTTTCAATACTGGCCTGCGATAAATGACTCGCAATATTTGGTCGCCAAATTTAAAGTCGACAGTTTCATTTTGGCGGTCAGAGAAACTTTCACAACAGACATTACACATATTGATCTTATTGTTATTAAAGACAAAATTCTTACCATCAAAGTCCACAACTCAATCTCACTCTCCCTCTTTCGTCAGATCTAATCTAATCAATTGAAACGGTGTTTCCTATAATCCTAACGTTATTAGAGTCATTAAAAAATCGTAATAATAAATTAATTTTGTAATTTGGTATTGAAATGAATCATAATCTTATGGATATCGTCGCAAATTTCTGCAATTGCTAACACATTCCTTACCACTTGTGGTTGCCGCTAATAAGTCATTCGAACTATGAACTGCTGTATGGGTGGTATGATTGGCTAAATACAGCATAGTCTGCAACATAAGACCGCCGGTGGTATTTGAGATAAACATTTTCTTTACTTTAAAATTTTGTTTTTGGTAATTTTTATTTCTTACAAAAAATTATTATCACATTTCTTACTGTAACTCTTTTGTTTTAATTAAAGTTATTTTTTCGAGTGACTGTTTATCAAATTCCTCTTATTTATTGTTGATTAGATATGACTTTTATTTTACTTCTTGAATAGTTTTATGTCGCTTTATTGAGTTTACTACGTTATTTAAATGACTTACTATTGGCACCAACTTTGTTGTTTGAACATCACTGTTTAACTGATTGATTATACGAGCTCGACTAGCAATTTAAAACAGTTGTGTTGCTCCTCACTATTTATCTCTTTTATTTCCCGCTGGCGCTCTCCTTCTCCCTCTATCTCTCTCGATCTTCATTATAGAAATTGTTTACTCATTGCGTTGTTGCAATAATTTTTGGATTTTTAATGACTGAACGGGAAATTCATCATAAGTCTGCTTTTCTGTCTTGCATTCAGCAATAATTTAATTTTTCTGCATTTTGTTGCTTATTGTTCACTGCCTGCTGAAAATCTGTTCTCAGATACATAACACTGAATGGATTTGTTACCATCCCATGCATCCACGTACAGCCTGTGTGAATATACTGTTATATTGATACCGATCCCTAGGCAATGAAGACATACTAACTTTGCAGGTTCATGTATGATATCAAAATACATCCAGCGTCTGTATTAGCTGTAAATCCACAGTGCAGTTAACTCCCTCTATACTCCCTCTATAAAAACGAAGAGCATTTAAAGACCACAGGCATCGAAAAACCTCTGCCGCTAATGCTATCTTCGCTGCGAATATAGCGCTTACATTGTTGTGTTAGTTATGTTACTTGTATTAAAATAAAAAACCCAAATGCTTCAGAGATTCAGAGTTTTCTTATCGATTTAAAATGCAATTGAACTTTCTATAACTCCGGAATCTTGATAAGCATTCTCTTAAATTAATGGCACGAATTTCAATTTAATTCAATTCTTGACGTTGAAGGGGAAATAATTGTGCACTAGTGTTGAAATTTCAATACTTTTTGCACATATTTAAGAAATTTTTCTTCATCTTGGCATTTTAAATCGTCTAAATTTGAACGAACCCATCCCTCAATCTGTAGTCCTTGGTCACGATAGAAAACTAAATCTCGTTTCATAAATTCTTATGGCGTCTTTATGGTTAATAATATGTTTACACCTATATTTTGTTAGAAGAATAACCTATAAATAAGCTCCTAAGCTTATTTCATCGAACGGTTCATAAGAGGAAAGGATATCTCATTATCACTCATACGCAAAATCAAAGGGAAGGAAGTATCTGCCACATTCTTAATTCAATAAATGAATGAATTCCATAAATGAATGCAAATATCAATACAACTATTTAAATGGAGGAAGGAGGAAGTAAAGAAGAAAAAGAAGGAAGAAGGTGCTACTCGAGGAATACGTGTACATGGATCCCCTTAATTTCGGCACAATAACAGATCCATTCGTCCAAGTATATTCGACAAGCTGCTCATCTTAAAATTGTGAAAATTTTTGTTATTTTGGTATATTTAATATATATTTAAAAAAAAAAAATTTTTTATTTAAAAAAACTTTCGTTACCCCAATTTAAGGAAGACACACCGTTTCTTCATAAAACCAAATTTTTTTTGAATGTTCATTTAGACCGCTTACATTCCTTTTAACGATTTCTTATTACGATGTAAGGTAAACTACACCTTTCTATACGCCACCTAACAAGTATGACGAATTTCGGATATCTTCTTCTTGCTCTCCAAACCAATTAAAATGTCTTCATTGAAGATTTTAAGCATATCCCAGCGGAATCCATTAAAACAACAACAATATTCGTCCTTCTGAAAATGTAGTTTCCGATACGTTAATTCCCCAATTAGTGTTCGTACTGACTGAACATTTATGCCATTATTCCACTTCCATCCGGAATTTTTCAATGCTCTGAACTGTAGTTAGACTTGTTACCGACATTGTAATGAAATATATGATGAATGTATGAGATATAGTTGTTGAATTACAAGTCGAGTGAATATAATAGCAAAGTAATTTTTCTGTCTCTTTCTGTATATATTAGTCTTCTCTAACTATTATTTATTTATTTATTTTTTTAGTTTTGGTGTACCCTTAAGCCGGCGCAACATGACTGGCAATGAATAATAGCAAAACGCATATTAGCGGACCATAGGAAGCGTGAAGCGTTTCTTTCCCAGCTTTAATTTCAGTTTTTGAGCAATGTGCGTTACATATGTAGTGATGACACTGTTATAGATATATACATAGACACTTTTTATTGTCGTTACTTTTAAATATATAGAACAAATATTTCTTGAGTTCTCTTGTTCGCAGGACTATTCGCATTTGATACTTATTAATGTTTACTAAATAACCAAAAAAAAGGAAGCTTAGAAAACTTTGTGTTTTTGTTTTAATTTAATAATGACTAAATACAAAATTATGTTAATAAAAACAATCAAAATTATAATAATAGATAGATGAACTCGACTCAATTGTAGGACGCTTAAGAAAACCACATTCTTAGGTGAACCAATGACTCAATTGTAGGACGTTTAAGAAAACCACATTCTTAGGTGAACCATTGACAAAACAAAGTCCATTGCTTATAAGCGACCTATATGGCAAGTGCGTTCCTTTGTTTATTTGAAAATCCGGGATTAATCTTAAACGATTGACGTCAATGCGATATAGTTATTAATAATCATAAAACAAACGAAGCGTACACGATGAATACAATGAAAGCTTATCGTGAATCCCATTAAAAAGGCAAACGCGTTAAATATCAAAAATAAATGAATAAAAGAAAACAACTAAACAAAAATAAAAAAATTCGGTAAACATCACGTTCTATTTATTTATTTTTCTTTTCTTTTAAACTAATTAGTCGTTCAATTTTCAAAATAAATCATCAAATTACGTCGAATTAAAATTTAATTAAGGTATAGCTGTGTAGTTGATAAACCTCTTATCAAAAAAAGAACTAGTTTCAATCGGAATTCTAATTCACACCCTTTTTAATACGTGGTACTATAAACTCTAGTAAAATGAATTTTCATTTTATAATTATTTACGGAAATTCTGAGTTATTCAAACTATTGTTATATGGGAACTGGCCGAAGAAGAAGTCCCCTCTGAACCATTTTTAATAGCGTTCCTTCTTAGGCCAAAAAAAGACAGACAGGCTAGCTTTGATCGGTTCGGGAAGTGATTCTGAATCGATCGGTAGAATAAAAGATTGGTCTATCTCAAGTCCTTCTTGCGTTGGATACATCCGTACAAACATAATATATCCTTGTACAACCAGTGTTGGAGGATATATTAACTCATTTGGTTTATTGTTATGCTTGTTTGCTTATATACTTTCTTCTTCTTCTTTTTTGCGTTTGCTTTCATTTATTTTGTCATGCACATATATATGATATGGTCAATATTCCATTGTTTATGTCTCGATTGAAGCACATTCCACGACTTTACAGCAATCGGGTTGTACAAGCTCACAAAACGCTACTATCAAGAATGACTATCGAACCCAGTACGCATTCCATGTAAAACCAATAAACTAGTTAAGGGCCGGCTTGTTATGTGATTGTACGAATGTCAAGTTTTTAAATAGCCATGTCGTTTGTTAACGAAGTCTAATAGAGCTTGACAGTCATTGTAACAGCTCACCTTGGAGCCATACCAAGCAATTCAATGGAATATATTGCTATCTAAGTGATCAACTAGATTTAATCGTTGGATTATTTATACGAACACAGATCAACACTAGCGGAACAAAAAAGAGTAGTTTTTAAAGTATGAGTAGTAACGCTAAAAGTTATTTTATTTTAATAAATTTTTAGATCTTCCAACACACTAACTCGACCACGCACACTTTTTAAGCAACAATTCATTCGCTTTTTGACCATGACAAGCTTAAAAAAAACGGAAATAACTTATTTTCGCTTTCGTTATTATTTTTTTTTTTTGAACTTTTTTTTTGGCTTTAACTTGTTCTTATTGTGCATTTTGTAAAAATTAGTTCTCTATTGTTCGTTTTAGTTACGTATGACTTTTTAGTCCACGTTTTCATTTTCCGATTTACAATTAAAAAATACCAAAAGGAAAAGAAGAAGCTATCCGTTTATAGCGCAGTGAAACTATATTTCAAGCTTCTTTGCTGCCTTAATCGCATTTAAGATTTCAGAACTAACGACGGATTTTAGTCAACTTGAAAGTCCTTTTGGTCCATGGTTATTCTCAAATTTCATTTAAAACCCTTGCTCATTTGTCCTGTCACAGATCGTCGCTTTTATCTATTTCTCGATATCTATTATAGATTTATTAAGGAAGCAACCCCTCAAGTTTATGCGCATATTGAATCAATTCAATGTTGAATTTACACCTTCATGCAACTAAGGAACCTTTTTCCTTAAGTGAACTTAAGTGTTACCTTAAGTTAAGTCATAACACTCCTAATTCCAATGCCAATATATCATGTATTAAAATTCATAATAGTGAAAGGCAGATCAAAGAAACTATGTATAATTATAATTTTTAGGCTAGTGAAATAAATTCTTAGACTAAGAAGAAAAAATTCAAGTACTAGCAACACAGGCTATCGGCTTTATTTTAGAAAAGAACATTAGATATTAAGCCTAACGGCTCTAGGAATATATTGTATGTTTAGGTAGTATATTATATAACTAAAGATACAGAAGCAGAATACTTTCCCATTTCCCAATAAACCGATATGACTTCATAATTAACCCAAAGCATTTTAATTTTATCGCCGCATTTTGTATTGATATTCTTTAATTTGTTGATTGTACTGTCTATTTATAAGAAACAACGTAGCCAGCGAAATGTCTAAAGGATAGCTTTTCAAACCTCATGTAGGTTTGAGACCAAAAAGGCGAAACATTTTTAAGAGAACGTTCAATTCCTTCGCGACATACAAATAATAGTCAATTACGGAAGGCGGCTTTTGTTTAAATTAAAAAGCTAGGGGACGATTTTAGCTGTTAATTCATAAAGTCTATTTTCTAAAGTTGGGAGACCAGTTTCAATCGTGCCATTGTTGATGGGCACGGTCCGAAAAGCATAGCAACTTGTTCTAAGAGCTCGGAAAATTCATTCGAATATGAAGTTCCACTAAGTTTGTTGATTTTATTCCAGACAAATCTCATTGATGGGTTTCTATGACTTCTTTTCAAAAAAAGTTCAAAACTGAGTGCTTTTGAATTTCGTAATTCCTTTCGGAAAGGAACATTGGCTTTTTTGTATAATAACAAATGATCATGATCCGGACATCTTTTAAAGCGGTGCCATAAATCCATTTTGTTTCTCCTCAATAACGAAACCGTGTTGTTCCACCAAGGAAGCCTAGCTCGTTTAAAAAAGCTGTTGGATTGAGGTATAGAAAGATGAGCAGCCGTGCGAATCGCTTTAGACATAATAGCAGCATCATGTTTGCAGTTCCCGTTAAATGGCTTTGAATTCAGAAATGACTCGGCCTGTTTGGAGTAGTTGATCGAATCCGCTTTATCTAGGAGGAATTTGGCCTGTTTTGCTGGACTAACAGAAACGTTTGAAAAGTTAAGATTGATTATGATTAGAAAGTGGTCACTATTATATAGATCATTGAATATAGACCACGAAACCGAAGGAAGAAGTGGCGGAGAGCAACAATGAAATGCGAACAGCTGAAATGAGTAGAAAAATTCGTTGGTCTTCCATCACTTAAAATGAAGAAATTGCTTTTTGTCAAGGGTTTTTCTAAAACAGTAGCATGGCTTTTGTTCCCTATTGGGCCCCAGATGATGTTTCAGCTGTTAAAGTCGTCACATATAATTAAAGGGTGGAAGGTACGAAGAATAAACTATAAACCTCTCGCTGAGAAAAAAACTGCGAAGCTGGGATATAGGGCGAAAGTACTGTAAATTATTTGTTTAAAATTATTTGTATCGCTATGGCTTGTGTGTTTGAGATTAAATTAATGCCTTTGTGAGGGATATTGGAATACACAAAAACACCAACTCCTTGTTTGGAATATGAATTTTGATCAATATTCACGAAGTATCCAGTACATGATCTGGGTGGAATAGGATTAAAAAAACTTCTACAATGGATCTCTTGAAGGGCTATAAAGGTTGGATTAAAATCACTTATGAGAGTACGCAGTTCATCAAAATTATTAATAAGTCCCTTAGTGTTCCATTGTAGAACTTTAAAAAGTTTATTTAATTGCAGTGAAACGAAAACGAAATGATAGGCAACTTATGTTAACACCTCAGCGTCTTCGTCGAAAATGAAATTTCTTGTAAATAATTTGTTCTTACCAGCAGGATAATCTGTACTTAGGTAGTTGCATACATTTGAAGTCCAACGAGTGGGCACATGGGAATAATTTGAAATTGAAGGTTGAATGAAGGATGAAAGATTGGATTCATTATAACTTGTAATTCGTGGAATAAAGTGAGAGCTTGTGATTCTGGGGTATTTAGTTTATTAGGCTTTAGGCAGTAATTTTGATTTTTTCAATAATTTTTATGGTTTTGAATTTGTCAAAATAATTTTTGACAGATGATAAATCTGGTCTTTCAATATGATTCTTAGCTGATGATAGAACATGTTTTACGTTGACAGAAGTTGGAGTTAAAGGCTTATTAAACTCGATTTGCGAGGCGAGGTATTGCCTTTGTGAATTCTTTGGAATCCAGTTGGATTTACTTCCCGGTACTTGCGTCGCGCTTCGCCCATGCTACAGTAATTGTTTATTTTAATTTTAGAATTTTACGCATCTGTACATAACTTAGGGAAAGTTTGTGTAACGCCAAGTGCTAACCATTGCAATTTTTGCAGAAACTACGGGCACAGCTTTTAGCATGCGTAGGAAGATAACTTTTATCACAAGGTAGAGCATTGTTGCACCTTTCTACAGTATGACCCAGACGTTGGGAGTTTTTGCATCTCTTGGGATTTGGGACGCAGATTGCAAGTTTACACTTGTACAAAGCAACATCAACAGTTTGCGGTAAACGGTAGTGCTCAAAAGTCATTATTATCTTTCCTGTTTTCCGCCGTCATTTAATTTGGTGAATTTGTAAACTTTCTTCCAGTTACACCTTGATTGCTCATTTCGCGAACTTGTTTTTCTTCCGGTATATGTTTTAAACATGAGGCATAAATTACGCCTTTAATTGAATTGAGTTTGTTGTGTAGTTTAGCGAAAATTGGACATAAATTAGCAAATGATTTCGACTTCGAAAGGTTCTTCGTCGCGCAAGAATTAGCAGCGAGAACAAGTAAATTACCATCGCGAAGTTTTGGGATGAAGTTTATATATAATGGATCTAGGATTCTTTTCTATAGCGAAAGGACTAATTTGTGAAATTGGTATGGTAGCAATAGAAATAACCACGTATTTTTTATTAATAGGAGTAGTGTTACTGTTTGGCAATACCGGAAAGTTCGAATTTTTCTTTTTTTTTCTTTGCGGTGATTTGTCCGCCAATGAATCGAATCTATTTAAGTTTTTATCTGGTGGCCTTGCATCGACAATGCCTTTTTGTTATCAGTTTATTATTTAGGGCCTTAGGAAAAAGAAAACATTCATTTGAAAAAATATTGGGAACGACTAAATAATATCAAATTTCAATTGTCAATCATTGTCAGTTTTTATTTATTTTTTCTTTTAATTTTTTTTTTTTTGAATATGAAGAAACAAACTCACATATGTTTTCCGCGATACCCAGCTCAGCAAGAAAAACTCAAAAGACACGAGCCAAAAATATGAAAAAGCCAAAACAGTCAAAACATTAGGCCAAGAAGTTAAAAATTTAAAAGTTTTTTGGTGTTAATTATGAATTCGGCAATTGAATTATGAATTTTTTTCATCGTTTTCCCATCATTTTACCACGCGTTAAATGTTAAACTTGTGGTCCTGCCTCTGACAGATCAGCTCCAAATTCTCGAGCATAAGATGGTCGAGGAAAGACAATAAGGAAATGGGCATGGGCGGGTATTTATATGGCGCTGGGTTTACAGACTTATGAAAAACATAATAAAAAATTTATTACAATAAAAAATGTGCCCGTAGCGCATAGCTCAAACAATTTTCATTTCTCCCATTCCAATTTTTTACAATAATTGTAAAACAGCGTTCTCTAGTGCGTCAGGTAGGATTCCTATATCTTCCACTACTTGTGGTACAAGGTAGAATCCAGAAGGACTTAAGATTGGCCCATTTTTTATCGATTCCAATCGCTATTATATATATAAGGCTTGTCTGACTGTCTGATATTTGTCCGTGTACTTTTGTGTTCTAACTACAGTTTTACCGTATATAAGGATTCTCAGGAAACGTAAACCCTTATATTGCTGAAAAGGTCTATTTATTAACATTTTATGATGAAAATCTGTTCATGCTAAATTAACATAAAAATGAAGTGGATCAAATTTTAACCATATGAGCCTATTTCTTGGACGCCACTTCTTATACGATTTCTCATGAATAGTAATCTCTTCAGAACAAGCTTTAATTTTTAATATTTGACGATGCAAATTAATCCGTAATAGCAGTTTAGCAAAAAAATTAACAGAAGCGAACTTGGATCATATAGTACAATTTTTTAGAATGTTTTAGATGAAAAGCAAACCTTTATGGAGATGAAGTCTAATTTTTAGTTTTTTGTGACGCAAATCAAAAAATAATTTAATTCGTACGAAGTAAACTAAGTTTGCCAAACTTGAATCAGCTTATGTAAAGTTTTGAGTGCCCTTTAATATGAATGCCTTTGTGTACTATTTGATGTATTATAACCAAACCGAATAAATAACTGTACTAGGCGAAGTGGTGTAGGATATCAAATTGAAGTCCTTACCCAACTAAAATATTCTTATTTCCTTTAAACATTTGACGATCACAAAAAAATCAATATTCCTAAGAAGTCCTGCCTAGTTCTCCATCTATATGCATATAGATCAAATAATTTTTACATCCGTTGCCAAAGAGTGGGGGTACATTCATTTTGTCAAAATCTTCTCAACATCCAGGAGGGCGCTTCGGAGTTCCCAGAGGTTATATTAGAGTTTTGCCAGCATCAAATTCTGAATCTGCGTAAAAATTTTCGGTGATCAGTCTGTTAATAATTTTGAAAATCTTCCCTTGTCTCAAAAATTAATATAACGGTTTCAGATTAGGCAAAAGCAATTGAAGCTTCTACGTGTAGGTTGGTTGTGAAAATGAACCAAATCAGAATTTTTTAAATTCAATTTTGCACAGGTTATGGTGTGTGCCGCAGAATCCCTTTCATTGGTACTGCCTTACGAGACTAACTCCTGTGTTGCTATTTATTATTATTTTTCAAAAATAATACTGTTTTAATGTTTAATTATTTGTTTAGTAACCCCCTCGAATATTGTTATTTTATTACCTTTCGTTCCAACCAAAGAAAAAAAAACGTCAAAACGCTTTTTTTAAAGCTATTACAGTCTTTCTCTTTTTTTTCTTTTGTCTAAAACTTGTATAAAAATTTGATTTGTTAACCCGTTATAGGGTTCAAGAAAGTGTATTAGTTAGCTTAAAGAAAATGTAAACAAATGAAAAATATAGAATTAAATAGTAACATATGCAATATATTTGTGTTTATGGCCTTCCAATTAAATTCGAAGTAACAGCTTGTAGAATTCTGCTTTTAATCAATAATGAAATTATTGTCGTTTACTCCTAGGAAAATAGTTGCCGACATAAGTAAGTATAATCGAATATTATTTGGGAATTATTAAACATATCATAAAAATTATAAAACAAGCAAATTAGATACATTTCGGGGAGTATTTTACATAGCCACCACCTCAAGCAGATATACGGAAATGAAAAAACATTTTATTAATTATTTCGTTTTCAGCATTAGGGCCATTTTTTGATGTAGACGACGAAGGCAAGAAAGAATGAATGATATTCTGCGAAAAAAGTGTAAGATTGTCATGTACAAAATAACAATCCAACTTTATGATCTGTTAATAGCTAGCTAAAACTTCTGCGTGAAAATATCCGCGCCGCGAGAAAGCGGTCAATCGCAAAAATGATTGGCAATAAATGATAAAAAACCAAATGATATTATGCAACAATGACGTGTAAAGAAAAAATCGCCGTCGAAACAAGGTCTGCACAGGCTGTTGAAAACCTCATGCTGAGCCCTACTGCCGCCGAACAGCACGGCTGATTCAAACTGTGCTGATGCCAATTAAAACGATTACACTCAATAATTAAAAAAATGTCCGAAAGGGATTGATGTCATATATCATATTAGCGCATACGTAGCTAACTAGTATTCAATCCATACGGACGCTTTGGGTGTCCCTGCACGCTAAAAACGGAATGACAAAGAAATCTTATCTTTCGGTGGCGGATATAAAAATTTAATTAATCATAAATTATATTTGGTCATTGCTTAAAAGATATACTTATCTCGTTTTAGTTAGAAAAATTATTTTTGAAATGTGTATAAGTTTCGGTTAATAAATTCAATTATTTTTGGCATTTGTTGATAGTAATTTTTTTTTTTTTTTGGTTTTTAAAAAAGGCACTATCTTAGCAAATCTCTAAAATGGTTTAAAATTAGTCGGTACGTTGAATGATTAATTCTATTTTGTCGCCGGCCGCCGCTATCAGGGGTACGGTAAGGCAACAATCGAAATCTTGTGTTTTCATGTCATTAACCTTAAAGAAAGCATGAAATTTTCAAAAAAAATGTTTTTCATTTTGGATTTTGACTTTGATTGCTCACCTGCATTATTCTGTCGAAAGGCTTTAAAAGGCCACACTTATCAGCTGGTCCTCCCGATCTAATACGATTCACAAATACACCACGTTCGTAGAGGCCGTCTGATACGGAAAAGCCATAATCATCGTAAACTTTGTCTTTATATAAAGTAACGGGGAATATTTTCTGTTTCTCTTGTTTACCGCTGGTCGAACTGTTTTCAGTATTCGTTGAGGGACTACGGGGGCGCCTTTGAACTTTAGCGTATATAGCTTGAGGTTGCGACAAAATATTGGTTTCACCTTCGCAAAGAATACCACCACTAGGAAAATTATTAGTTGTGTCGTGGGAGCGTAATAGTTTCAAATCTACCACCTCTCCTAAGTTTTGTAATAAATTAGTGGCGTGTGACAAAGGTAAACTTTGTATGAGTTCGGTATTAATAGCTAAAAGTTGATCGCCCACTTGAACTTGACCGCTTTTATAAGCAATGCCCCCTAAAGGAATGCGAAAGCGCAATATTAAAACCGTTTTCGTAAATGGCGGCTTATTTTTTAGTGCTTACCCTCCACTAAGCCGCTTATGGTTATGGGTTTACCAACGTCCTCACTTCCCGCCAAAGTAATACCTAACAAACCGCCTTTTGGTTCCAATCTTACCGTAAATATAATTTGATGCAAACAATTGGCACTATTTTTACTGCTTGGATAATTATTGGATCCATAAAGCTTATATCCCATGGGTAGTGGCAAATTACCGCAGTCGACACTAAAAACATTTTAATCAATATGAAGTCGAACTTTTCTCAAATTTGTTATCATATATTTCTGATTTTTTCTCACCTGTTGTACCTATCCACTTCACATCGGACAAAGTCGTGGTAGTTATTTTCATCCTCTGGCAATTCGGTGTTCAAACTTTGAGTATTTTGATTGGCAATGGAACGATCAATGGTGCCAGACCAATTGCCACCTCCTAAATGGCGACGAATTTGTACCGATGTCAGTGCATTCTCGTTTAGGGTAGGACCTCGATAATATTCTGGTTGCGGTGTGTTTGATTTCAAAGACAAACAATCATTATATTTGATTTCTGCATATTTTGAAGCTACATATGAACTGCTGTATAAGTCATGTTCACTGGTGGGGCTTGTCAGACAATTGCTATATATAGGGGTTTGCAATTTTTGTTGGGTATCAAATAAGAAATCAGGTAACATGACTCGTTTTACCGTCAATGTAGTAAAATCACTTGCAGTGCCCTCCTTCAATAAAGTATCAACACTAAAGTGTTGTATGGGATGATTATCAACGGCCAATAAAATATCGCCCGATCTCAAAGAGCCGGTACGATGAGCCGGACTGCCAGGCTTAACGTCGGCTATAACAAAACCACCATGACTAGAACCATTAACACTCACACCCAAACCGGCTTTACCACTACGCACTACCTTAACATTAAAAACCCCACTAGATGGTACAACCGTATCAGGCATATCAAATTCAATTTCCAATTCTAGCCAATTGGCGGGGTTATGGCTTGGTCGACTCCCTACGTCACCCAGCAACTCACGCATCGCCTGCACTTCCAAGTTATACATTTTATTTATGGCTACTATTCGATCACCCTTTTGTATGCAACCACAACGATCGGCTACTGAATCAGTTATAATATGATTAATAGTAACTGCTCGGCCGCAGGCCGATTGCTGGCCTAATACTAATCCCGAACCCATACTACAATCCAATAACACCGGAAATGTTTCCGCTCTACAAATACCCATGTTTGAATGATGTGGTAAAGTGCCTAAAGTATTTGTGCTAACACCCAAACTACTACCACTTGCACTGCTACTAGGCACACTACCACTACTGCCGGCTGCACTTGCTGTACTGTTTGTTGTCCCGTTACCGCCAACCAGGTCATTAGCAATTTCCAAAGGAAACGAACTTTTACGTGCAAAACGTTGACGTTGTCGCGACTTACGTGAATCCAAAGTGTTGAAACCATATTTTGGACTGGCTAAAGTAGTATGACCTGCAAATAATAAATGACAAAGCGTACGAAGCAATAAGACTACAAAATTAAATTCATTCGTTGACTTATTTTTAGTTCACTATCCACAACATAAATATACACACATGGAGGTATACACTTAAAGTTACTCCGCCCTAGATATTCGTTATCATTTCATATGAAAATATTTAGTTCATAGACGTTTTTTTTCCAATTTTATTTTATTTGTTTCGGTAAAAATCGTTTTCCTAAGAGCTTTTGCTTGCACTCACCTAAGATTTAATTAAAAGTTGTAAACATTTGCCCGTTTTTCCGAAAAACTACAAGAGAACTAAAAGAAAGTTACACGACAACTAATAAATACTTCATAGTGGAAAATTCCTTTGACAAAAAATTTCTTCATATCTTTTCAATAGTGAATTGAAAGAAAAAAGCTACAGAGCAAAATTTTACGTTGACGCTTCATTTTCTTAATTTCCTTCTCAGCCCTAGACAAGCACTACTTTCTTACTTACCTAATGCTTCAACATGCATAAAATATACTTTTGTTTGAAAAGATTTCAAAACGCTTGAATTTTATTTTTTCCTGAACACTCAATAGAAATGAATGAATATATTTAATCGAATAAATATTATTGATCTTCGTTTATATTTCTGAATCATTTCACACTTCCGTTTATGGTTTATAAAAGAAAATAAAAACTGAAAAACATAACAGTTTGTGAAAGAAAATGTTCTTAAATATCTTTGTCCAAACTTATGAGCTTTGAGCTACGAAAAAAAACGATATTTTGGAGAAATAAAACCAATTTGCTACGCACTCTATGAAGTATGCTATTTAAACACTTACTTTGTAAAATTCCTAGTGATACTTTTATTTGAAAGAATTAATTTTCGTAAAAATTACGCAACAGGATAGTCAGTTAATTTCATTAGCTTTCAAAGAACTGGTTAATATAAGAGAGAACGAAGCGAGATCTAGCGGTTAATTTAAACATGGAAGTTTAAGGCTTCCGAGCACTCTTTGACGCGTACTGCTCATTATTATAAAACAGTGCTCTTTGCAAAATTTGCATTGTAAGATGTGTCTTGTATTTACGTTTTCTGAAATGTGGTTAACTGAAATTGAAATTAGGAAATTGTTAAAAAACTTGTCAATGCAATTAATTTTAAATTCTAAAAATACATTTTTACAATAAAAAATTTATGGTATAAAATTGGACGGAATTATTTTCTTCTCTTCGTTACATGTGTATATCCGTTAGTTTCTATAAAGTGGCTCGTTTGCAATAAAATAAGAAACTAGAAATAAATCGGGTGTAACAAGCGGAAACACAAATTTAATAAAGTATAAAAATTATTACTTATACCGTGAAAACATTCGAACATCTTATGTTAGATTATTTGTGTAAATTTTTCCATTGATTTTGCTTTGTTTCTTCGGCTTGCATAGTGCCTTGTTTACTTATTTACGAAAAGGCGTTTAGTTAAACGTACATTATGGCTTACTGTCTTTCACAGAATAAGGTTTAAAAGGTTCCAATTTGGTTCAGTCGTTCGCGTATAGGAATACTGGTAACCACTATAAGTGGATGGACGCAATCGAACTTAGAATTCAGTCAAAAAAAACTTGACAAAGCAACTTGAACAATGTCTTCAAAAACGAAAACAATCGAAGTCGAAGACAAAATGTCTACAATGTGTACAAAAATGCGCAATAAAATTATTTTTCAGCATAACAATGATCGAACGCATATCGTACTAAATTAGTTAAGGAACTACTTCAATTGGTTGAATAAGTTGCCTTATCGAATTATTCTCTAGTTACTGTTACTATTTACGTCGATCAAAGCAGAACACTATGCCTCATCAACGTCACTCTATCACTATCTATTCACTCTAAATTAAAAGATTTAGCTTTCGATTAACAGTATACTAGATACATGATTTGCAATCAGTAGGTCTTCACGTCTTTGCTACAAACTTTACAGCCTTGTACCATAAGCCGTAACCCAAAACACATTTTCTTTTCAATAAATAAATTTATTTCTGATTCTACATATTGCGTAGATATCTAATCCCTCCAAAAAAATTATCTCACATTTGCTGCAAAAATGTGTAACAGAGATACGCAGTTGCTGGGAACAGTCCATCTCCGATTCGTTCGAATGAAGTTGCCGAGTTAAAACAAAAAGAAACACATTTCAAGAAATAAGTAGCTTATATGTAGTAGATATTTCAAGTGGTAATAAATATTTTCCGTGTAGGCCTACGCATAAGCTGGTCTGAATTTTAAAATGTTTGCATTCAACGTCGAGTAGCCCGGTGTTTTTTGGAGTTAGACAAAACTAGTAATATGTGTAAATGATGTTTTAAAAACGGTGTGTGGCCTATATTCATATGATCAAAAATATATACCAGAACTTAGATAATCTCAAAAACTCCAAAAGGTAATCCCCATTTTTTTATTTATTGATTTTTTTTAAATTATCAGATGTACTGCGCGTACCAGAAATTACTTTTTAACGAAACATTGAATTCTTTGACTTGCAAAAATCAATTTAGAGCACCACTTAGTAGCACCTAAAACCGTTGAGCACAGTCAAAAGAAGCAACGAATGACTGCAGAAACAGCATCAAAATGCGGTGAACAAAAGCTAATGGTGGTAAAATCGACGAAAAGTCTAACAAAGGACAAAGCATTTTAAAGAAGTGCATACCTAGAGAAAATGATATTTAAAGCCAACGTGGAAATTCTTACCGAAAACTTGATAAAGCGTATAATCAAATAAGTTATAAATCTGTGGTGCAATCAGTATGTCTGAAGTGAAGAGGCCAAAGTGAAAACTATCGTCTGTCAGATACTTCTCGAAGGAAGTCTGTGTAACCAGTCACTGACAATCTGAAAGTTATAACAAGTGCCGCTCGAAGAAGTGAACATGCTACTTGGGAACAAATTGGTAACATAAGCTCTACAGCGAAAGCATATTGGTGTCAGAAGCACAGTCTTCTTTTCTATCTGCGAATCTCCATAACATATCTGGTCTGCTCAACACCGAAGACTGATGGAAGAATGCCAAACGAAGAGCATTTTGGGGTCACAAAAACTGGAGAGATTATAGAGAGAGGGCTCTCAAGATTTTTCTGAAGAAAACCTAGAGTAGTTGTATTATATATGGGATTATCACCAAATCTGAAATCTTCTTGAAAAAACGGTACAGAATTGTTACGAAGGAACCTAATAGAGTCAATTGAATCCAGAACAGGAACCGGAAGACTGAACTGTAGTAGTTACAGCATACGAAAACACGATAATAGTTTATGAAAACTACCTGGCTCGGGGTGAATAGGCGTAGCAGGGAAAGCAGTGTTACAAAAATCGAATGTTTACAAAATTTAAGTTTGTATAAAACTACATGTTTTTGTAAAAACTTTGTTTAATCTTAAAATAACAGCACCAGCAGAAATATGGCGTGTAATGTGGTACTTGTCACTTGTTGTTCAAAAGTTTTATAAGTTGTTTTATATATCCTTGCTTAAAGCAAAGACTATTGCATCGTAATGGTCGAAGAAGGTAGTTAGAAAGGAGACTTAGAGTGTTCTCAAAAATAAGCTCCTTCAATTTTCTTTGTAAATGTTTTACTAAAAGTTGTAAATAAAATCCACAGTATTGTAATGTCAAAACTCAGTGGTTCTAGCGGTATGCACTTAATCTAAAGGAAGGGCGTAAAAAAATGAAAGGCTTTTATGTCACAACATCCTCAAAATAACAATGGTATTTTCGATAACTTATTCTGGCGAAAATTGATTTTGATTGAATGATTGATTAGATCTTTAAATGGAAACGGTTCCGGTTTTTTCATTTTTAGATGTTTTTTAAAAATTATTATGTATATAAATTGTTCTTTTAATTCATGTTTATGCTTAATAACACATTATTCGCCAAGTGCGTAAACTGACTTGTAGATGTCGTCACTATTGACGAATCCATATGAATTTCAAATACCTACCTTCAAATAAAATTCTTCACAATTTCATGATATTGCGCCCATTAGCTTACAAGTTACATTTTCTTTTTGTATGCTATTATTCTATTACCATTTTTCTCCCAAAAAAAAAAAAAAAAACAAAAAAACATAAAACCAGTCAATAATACAGTTTTTTAAGCAGTCACAGAGATTTCTGTCCTTAAATATCTTTCACAATTATTTATCCATCAATTTTCGTGTATTTCATTGGGTTTTAGTGAAAGGGCACTATTGCGAATCCTTCGGCGTTTTTCTGCACTTATATCGTATTATTGTGGTTTCTATCTTCCTGTTCAGCCTTCTTCAGGTCCCTCTCCTTCATGAAATTCTTAAAGAAATCAGGAAATGATAGGAAGAACCGAAATTTGCGGCAACGATTATTACATCAATTCAACGTCAGGCCACTCAGAGACAATAAAAATGGGTGTATTCAAAATTGTTTCGAAGATCCTCATCCAATATAAGTAAATCCTTCCGTTCATTGATTTTATTGATAGCCTTATTGTTGAAAGACTCCAAATATGAATTTGATGTCTCGCTTGATGTCGATGATATTCGATATTATAAATACCTATCTGATCAAAAATCTTGATGACTTTATTTTACAATAACTGCCTAAATGATGATCTGCTATTCGTTCCCAAGCAAACAAAGCTTTATTCAATTCGTTCTCACTTACACATCTTTCCGTATATAAACACTGTATGTTCAACAAGATGTAAAACTCGTTAACGACTGCATAATCTATTGTCTATATTTAAATTAATGATATAGACAAGAGTTATTTTTTCTTTTATAGAACTCGCTAAGCATTAATTCGTATATTATTTGCTTATTATTTCTGGATTTCGCGGCTGCCATTATCGGATTTTTCTATCAATTCGTTTAAAGGGTTTTTGTAATTCCTAAAACGAAAATTCCTTTCATATAAAACCTTACATAAATGTTCGCGAAAATTCGCGAAATTGATTCTATAAATACGCTATGTATAATTTGTCTGAGCACTAATCCTCCCTTACTTGCTTAGACGCCAACTGTTGTGTTATGTCGTGAATCATTCTAATACAGAACCATAATAATAATAATGAAGTTTGTGCAATATTTTTATTTACATTCAGTGTATTGCTGGAACGAAGGTCCCTTAAAACTGTTGTTTTTCGTTACGCAATCGCTAAAAAAAGGAAATGATCTCATATTTCTGCGTCCGCCGCATTATAACAAAAAAAGCACAAAAAAATCGGAAAGAAATTCTTCCATTTCATTGTCCCATGAACATTCATCTAACATGCACTTATACATACCTCTATGCGCAAAAGCATGGGCTGGCATTATCTGCATTTGTGTATAACCGCGACCTGTGTTCGTATCCAATAGTGTCATTACTTCATCGGGTGTGTAGGCTGCATTTTCAATGTTAATATCGTCTATGGAAAGCACTTGATCGCCAACTGACAGCGCACCACATCTGTAATAAATCATAAGGTAATTTTCAATTTTTATAATATTTGTATTACTTATTTTTCAAAAAGACTTCGTCTTGAGGCGAATCTTGGATACGTACCACAGATTTAATGTGAACGAGGGCATAGAACAATCAGAAAGCTTGTATTTTAAATCGTCGTTAAAGGTTGCAAGTTATTAATAGAAATATAGTGAAAATCTTGGTTTATTGGTAAAACTTGTTTCTACTTCTCCACACTACTTTTTAAATTGAATCTGTGCAGTTTTACCAAGCATACGCTTGCCGCATTTCGGCTTTGTGTATAAACGTTTTGATATTTTGCGATTATTAGAATACCAAAAGGACTACTGCGTAAGTAGTCGAACGAAAAGATAAAAAGATCATTGGATAAAGAAAGCCATCGATAGACGATGGTAGGAAGGGCAGCTACATGGAATGGTAATTATTTACAAAAACAGATATGACCAAATACATAGAGTTATTATCTCGGGCTGATAAATAGGTATAGATATATATTTACACATCTGGGAAGGTCTCTCATGCTTATATCTGAAGTTTGGAAAGGAGCAGACAAGAGTAGCACATATAAAAAGGATTGAAGAAAACTACGAAATGAACACACGGACGGGGCAACATATTATAAGGTTGATGTAAGAATTGCATTTTAAACAACAAATCTAGTAACAGGTGGCATTGATAAAAATTCCACCTATCTATATCACGGGATATGGGGCTAAATTGACTCAGAAACTACTGTTAACTAAACAAAATATGTAACGTTTATGTATCTCTAATAGTGGAATCTGGATGCAAAGATGATAAAAAAGAGGATGAAAAGTGAATGGACTACTTGTCTTTTACGAAAATAGAAAGTAGGAAGATATATAAATTTTAAAAGAATTTCTGCTTACCTATCAGCAATACTGGCTGGCAAAATACTGGCTATAAATGCACCCGCGTGGTTGACTTCATCAAATTTGCTGGTATGCTCGGTTAAAGCGAGGGCTGATGTGTAATTACATAAAACCAAACCCAACTTTTCATTCATAGGCCGTTCGATTTCTATTAACAAAGGTCCCATAGAAAATTCTATACTTTGTACTATCGAAACATCGTATTCAATGGTGAGATTAGTGTAACCGGAAATATGGGCCCCGCATTTGATTATCTGTTGAGCTTCGGCCAATGTTTTGCCGATAAGAGAAACCTTTATAAGAAGCATATTAATAATAATTTCTATAGTATTTTTTATTTATCTTTTTTTTTTTGCTACACTTACATTATCCACTCTTAACAGCCGATCACCTGGTTTAATACGACCAGTTTTATAAACGGGTCCATGTGGTCGTACGTGAGTAACAATAAGTGGATAATCAGCACCTCCTCTTAGTGTAAGGCCTAAGCAACCACTTTCGCGCTCTACTGTTATTTGAGTTAATTTCGTGGTGACACATAAGCTATTTTGGGAAACTAATGATGAACAATGGTGGGCGGCGGTGACGTTGTTGGTAATGATGAAAAATATGCCCACACATATATAAACACGAAAGAAAATTGGGGACGCGCAAAAGTGTAAAAGAAAAGTTAATAATAAACTATAGTGGGTGTTGAAATTTTAGTATCATTTAATAAAATTAATTTAGAAAAAATATGAAAAAATCATTGACTCTCGCCAAACGCAATCAACCTACTGTATTCAAGCAGGGAATATTCAATTTCTACAACAGTTGGACCATCTGTCGAACCACTTCCGCTTAACATGTTCATAACATGCTGATTAGTTAAGCCGATAGTTGAAATACCATCGATTTGATGTAAGCGATCACCTGGAGCTAGAAAATCGGCTGCGTGACCTAATGCACTTAATGCTGCTATAACAGGTGGATATGAAAGCTCATTGCGTTCTAATTAATAAAGAGAAAAAAAAAACATTTAAAATGATGTTTTAAAATCTACTAATTAGTAATAAAAATTCAAATATTTTTATGTATTCCGCCGACGACGAAAGAACATTTGTTTTAATATCAAAGTAAATTAACTTAGAAAATGTAAAATTATTATACGCGATATTAGGTTTTTTTTTTTGTATTTTTATTTGTTTTTGAATACGATTCATCCGATTTCTCACTGATCGACGACGGTCTTTGCAATGCGTTTCTATTACAATTGTTTATGCGTGACATTGAAATACATAGATATCCATTCTGTTATGTCGTCCGTAACACGTAATAAAACTTATGAAATGAATATATTGCTGTTCAGATTAAAATTCTAAATATCATATTAACCTATCTGTCCTTCTACTGTTCAAACTCTGCAAAAATTGAAATAATAAATTTGAAGAAACACGTCATAGACTTTACGCGCTAAAACCTAATAAATATTGAAAAATAGTTTTAATTATAACTATTTTAGATTCCTATTGAGACCTACTTAAAAGCATAGACTGAAGGCAAGTAAAAAGGTTACTACCAACCAAAGACCGCTCATTAAATGTCATACACAAGTACGTCCAATAAAAATACCATTTTTGTCGTGATAAAATGTTGAAGATTATACTTTGTTTCCATCTAAAGGCATAAGTTTCTTCGCAACCCTTATACTGGGAATCTAAAAACACGCTTATTCAATCTAAATTAGCTACAGTTAATTTCTATGTCAATATAACAAATTTCGTACAGCCAGTGGGTTGAAGATAATAGTGGAAGAACAGATAAAGAGACAGGTAAAAAAGTTTAACCTAGTCAGAAAAGCGATCGGTATTATAAACAGAGGGTCTATCTTAACTTTTTTTGGAAGTTATGTACATTGAGTCTCATTAATATTGGGCTTTTTCAGCCGACAAAAAATAAATGCCTGCTTCAAAAACACGCGTTATTAATATTGGGTTCTTTTCACATAAAGAAGGATACGAAGAAAAAAATAACATATTAAATATTAATATATGATGCGGTATCCTTTTTGCTTAATAACGTCATGTAAACGTTTTGACGTATTTTGTATAATTTTTCTTGTGCACGAAGCAGGAATCTTACTCCATTGTTCTTGTAGTTCATTTTTCACATCTTGTACGGAATAGGTTGAGTGTTTTCGTACACGGCGATCTAATTCATCCCACATATTTTTGATGGTGTTCATGCCTGTTGGTTGGTGAAGAGGGCACTTCGGGGTAGTTATATAACAGCCATTTTTGAATTAAGAGAGCCTTAAGCTTGGGATCGTTATCTTGGTAGAATTTGAATGTTCCTAAAATACCAATTTTGTCCGCAATTTCTTTCAAGTTTCTCCTCCTTCTTTAGAATGCTATCCATAAACACCGACTTCATTCGCTCCATGACCATTGCCATGTTCGCCGTAAGTACAAGAACGTAATAGGAAGCAATTCGTAATATAACGATGTTATATTTGGTCTCACCAGCTGAAAAAAATGAACTTAGAAACGTGTTTTATCGCAAAATCACAATTCAGTGATACGACCTTATTTCAAAAGGAAAATAGTATAGGGTTTACTTACAAAATTGGGAGAGCTGTTTATAAACTATTCACGGGAACTAATTTATATACAACGCTTTAATTCTCACTCTGATGTTTTTCGTTCGAATATTGCAATTCAACACTCTTAATTCGACTCATTTCTCGAGTTACTTTCGCTTGACTTTACCTGATGCAAATATTCTGTTTAAATACCCTATTATGAGCAAGTTACTATTACCTAAATTCATTGTGACATTCCTTTGTGACATTGTGACATTGCTTTTCCACTAAATTTTGACTTGTTGTTAACCTCTACACCAGATGCATGACGCACATAACACGCCATGATTGTATACTTGGTTTTTCCTTGCCTTACAATTTAATTTCATGGAAAATCGACTAATTTTCATTAAAGCTGAAGTCATAAAATGTGGCATTTTGGTAACAATATCTTTCGAGATATAAAAATATAGTATCTTAAAAATATTTTAATAATTATATTTGGTTTGACATGAGTATTTTGTATCCATCAGCTCTAGTTGAGATACGATATTTCATGACAAGATTGAACGAACATGTATTGAGTCGACTCTGATATGTCTGTCGTACATGGTGTCACACAGGCTTATCAAAAAAGGTTCAATTCGAATATAAAATTTTTTTCCTGAACCTTAATAGAGTTCGCGTTTAGCTTGATATTTTCTTTCGATTTGAGAGACACTTTTATCAGCTAAAAACGTATTAAAATACTTCTTTTTTTATTTATATATAATCTTTCAATAATTACGAGCAAACCATTAGTGGGTTTTACTTGATTTTCGAAGACTAAAGAAAAATTTATAACCGAAATTAAATTTATAAGACAAAAACGCCGAAATTCTTCACTCATACAATGATGTAAGAACAAGAAAACCGATTAAGCCGACGTTCGAACTTATATGTCTCTCCACAGAGGAAAGTCTTCGGACATACAAGTCATTATGTATGGCATAAAAGTGCGAAAAAAGTGTGATAGCTTTATTCAGATAGTTTAATAAATAATGAGTATTTTTGCAACGAACGATATCATTAGCATGCTATAAAAGTGAAAGCATTTTGTTTTATGTATTATATTGAATACATAAGCAAAACTTCTCATAAGTAACGGAACGCGAGCTTTAATATTGAATACACGAATAATAGAATAGGAACGCCACTCAATATTGTGTGACGCTAAATTACTTGAAAAGCTTTAAGCTTTTAAGTGTTCGGAAATTTTTTTATATGAAAGATGTCTCAAAATAAGTTGACATTTTAATCTTATTGTTTTATTACAAAATATTCACAATCGAGTTATCTGTGGTATATGGCATTAAAAAAATAATCAGTTAGGCCTTGGCTGCCAAAACTCAACTTTCCGCAATGATTGTTTATAAAACATCTTGATATTGTTGCTGGGAGCTGAGGCGCCTTGGCGTAGCATAAAAACTCGACCAATACATTCTTCTTAAGAAGAGCAGATAATTGATATAATTCTAGATTACATATAAAAAGTAGGGAATTCATTAGTTTCATCTGGAGCAAGTGTTGTGCATTCTTATTTTGAAAGTCTTTCATATTCATACCACTAACGGCTACCATCAAGGCACGAAAGTTAACAATCACCTAACGATAGAAAAACCGTCTGCTCATTGTAGGATATATTTCACGTTTGCAATAGCAAGCATCTTTACTTTAAATAATTTTAGACATTATTTATGACAAATGATTTCCTCTTTTTGGTCGAAAAGTTCACTTTTTCATATAAATGCTCGCCAAGCACTCAACAATTAAAATTTTTAAAAATCAACCCGATATTTCTCTCGCGGTAGCCGCTATGATTCTCGCAAAGGGCTTACATTATCGATGCTTAATGGCAGAGACCGCTCTACATTCCTGAATTTTTTTTTAAAGGCGTAAGAGGTGTTTTGAATCTTCTAGAATTACGAATTATGAACAGAAATTACTCATACAATTTGTGCATTTTGTCGAAGGTTTCTGATAACAGTGTCCATGTCAACGGAATAATCCTACCGAAAGTTGCAGCCTAATGTTTTGTCTTTTGATTTCTGGCGTTTCTAATACGTTAATACATTACATTTAGATTAGATTAAGTTTAGATGGTATTTATGTTCTATTGTTTTTTTGTTTAAAATCGTTTCTGAAAAAGAATACGTTAATGTCGTTCATTTAGGCAAGCATTGAGTAAATATGAGGCTGAAAGCTATTGGAAAGCTTTTAATGGTAAATTTGTATCAAAAATGAATAAATCGCAGAGTTCTTTAAATTAAAGATGTAAGAGAGAATTTCTCATGGTCTACTATTTTTTAATATTTACCAAAAATAGATTTTTTTTTTAACCTTTAGTGTTTGCTAAATAATCTCCGTGAACATTATTTTTGTATTACCTTCCCTTCCCTTTAAAAAAATTTATTTTAAGCAGCTAAGTTAATTCGTTTATTTCATTTCACGTCTGCTTGTTTGAGAATGTCGAAAAGTTGGAAACGTAGATAACCATTTACATTCAGTGTACACTAATTCATTAAAACATTGTCAACTTATTCTTTTTGCAAAAAAATGGTCTCAATTTTAGACGAAGGCTTCGCTTTGAAGAAGTCTTACTGAGTACTAAATGAAGCTTACATTTTTCAATGTACGTAATGCGTAGGCAACAGTTTAGGTGATGGAAGAACGTGATTTTAGAGTTAATGAAAAAAAGGGTTTGAGATCAAAAAGAAGATTAGCTGAAAATCCGATCCATGTCTAATTGTTAAAGAAGCAGTAATCCAGTAACCTGTTGATAAATCAGCAATTTAAAAAAAAATAGGCCTTAATATTACGTATCATACGAAGTTGTGATCGTAAACAGATGGTAGCGCGCGTAAAGTTCTAAGTTAGGAATTAACATTCGTAATGTCCGCCTGTAGGGGGTCTGCTTTTACAATTGTTCTTACCAAAAGACCAATAAGCGGCTTAGAAGATATAGCTAGACACCGTTGATCTTGTGCCCCATTTATAATTCTTTTGGTTGTTTATGTTAGGTAAATTGAAATAATGATAATAAGAGAGAGAATTCTAAAAAGAGAAAGAGAGCCTGAGGTGTGCCGCTGTATTCTAAGGGCTTTTGCTTGTTGCAACTTTAACTTTTGTTGTTCATTCTCTGATTAGCTGAAGTATCGGTGGGCGCCTTGAAACGTTGTGCTGTGTAGAGGACACCGAAACAATAGCTGATCACGATCAACATTATGAATAGAGGACCTTTTTTAAAAACGTAAAAACGCAAACTACACTGTTTACTCCAGAAGTAAGAACTTAAAACGAAACTTTCACAATGACAATAATATTTTCTGAATTCGAAATTAGATTGATGTAACAAGTACAAATTATTTAAGTTGTTATATATACATGAAAA